TTCGCCACTCCTTCGCCACTCCCTCGCCACTCTTTCGCCACTCCTTCGCTACTCCTTCGCCACTTCGCCACTCCTTCGCCACTCCTTCGCCACTCTTTTGCCATTTTTTTCGCCAGTCCTTTGCCAACATTGTTGACAGGAAAGAACCAATATCAGCGATGTTTGGGTAGTCGGTAAATAATTCCAGATTTAAACTACATATTTGCCTGGCAATTGTAGACTACTGTAGTTTCTAGCAGTGTAGTTCAGCTTTCTCGAGTCATGCTTTCTTATCTAACGATGAAATTCATGGAACTACTATCAATTTCTCGCATCGTTTCCCATTCTTTGCTTACGACACTCACCTCAGATATTTCATCAACTTTTTTCTTCATTATGTTAATTTCCCTTAGCATGTTTGCATCCATTGTAACGTTGTTATCCAATAGAATCGGCTGTCCACTCCAATTGGTAACCTTTCCTTCTGAGTTAAATTCTACTTCCAGTCTCCCTAGGTAAAGGCCAAACGCGTAGTCTTGGACAACAGGGACTTGTTGGCCCGGATTGGAGCTTGAGTCAACGACCACTGGGTATGGACCTTTGGGGGAATGCTCCTTGATTGGATTACCTGTGTAAAGTACGTGCAATATCATGAAATCAGGGGGGAAATTTGTCACACACTACTCGACATACAGCTATTTCAAAAAGGTTGGTGGAGGTTTTGCTTACAGCTTACTCTACACTAGGGTATATCCCAGCCTTTTTTTTATTCATTTATTTGAGATTTTGCCCACAGGCTGGTGCTGCACAATAGGACTCATAGGATGTACTTTGAGGTACATCGCACCAATTTCTAACACCATAAAATCCTCATACCCATCCCACAATCAACCCATAAAGAAATCATTAGTAAAGGCCAGACACTTATGGTGGTCACTGCCAGGGTTTCTTCACGTTCTCAGTGATTCTTTTTACGTCTCTCTCCTTTGCAGGGTGATGTAGTGTGGTGAGACGGGACCTAGCCTACGGTTAGGTCTCGTAGGAGAATTTCAATAAACACTTCTTACGAAAAGTAAATTTTCTCGCTTTCTAATTGGTCGAAAGCCGTGGTAAATAAGTTGGCCAATTACAAACAATTTCTTTTTACATACAAGCTGCATAGTATCTTACTTATTATCGCCTTTTGCCCTTACCTGAATACAAGAATGTATGTGAGTGACCTCCAACAACAACATCGACACCGTCAACTTGTTCAGCGATCTTCTTGTCTACCAATATCCCAGCATGCCCCAGTGCAATTATCTTGTTAATTCCTTGGCGTTTGAGGTCGGAAACCGCTGACCTAACAGACTCGATTTCAGGTAAGAACCGTAGGTTAGGTCCCGGATGAGATACACTGTAAAACATGAGCTAGTTAAGGAATTGTTTCACAAGACAATTTTTCTTGCAACTTGCAATGTAACGCCGTCGTCAGCATTGCACTGCAAGTTGCAAGAAAATTGTCTCGCATAACTTAACTGCGCCTTTGATATTATATGAGATTTTTATTTACACGAATCGGAGAGTGTGCTATAGTGTGGCAAGCTGTCGCTGATCTTCAATGGAACCAATGAAACAAGTTACGGCACTGAACGGGGAGTAGCACCGTGACCGTGCCGGGGTTTTGGATGTCTGGCCAAAGTACAATACACCCCTTTACCTTGGGCTTAATGTTTTTCCTATTTCAGACCATCTGTTATTCCCTTCAAAATAAGATTCTTTGTTTGGGTTGTATCCATGTTTGATTAAACAAGATGACACAAGCATAACCACATAAAATAAATAAAATCGTTCGTTCTCGCAGCCCTTGCGTTTTTTTTTTTTTGCGCTTGCGTCGCTTCTTTTCATAGTGAGAACGTTGAGGCGTGTCGACTTGCTTCGGCTTACTTCGGCTTGTGTCGACTTGCTTCGGCCTGCATATTGCTTCGACTTGCTTCGGCTTGCTTCGGCTTGCTTCGGCTTGCTTCGGCTAACGTCGCTAGTAAGAACCAGGCTAGGTTTCTTCTCATGTGCAGCCGTTAAATAAAAGAAATGATACTCTAGGGAATGACACGTGGTCTGGAAAGCGAGAGCAATACAGATGTCCAAGTATAAAGAGGTCTATAGAGGTTTTGCACGTGACGCCAGCCATGTTAGATGGCAGGAACAATACAATCGTTTTACACGAGAAAGAATTCAATGCCCGAGAGCAAAGGGATTTTATTGTTCTGCCATCTAACCACAGGCAGTCCAAGCTGGATTATGGCGCCGGCACGTGATGGTGCAAAACCTCTATTGTCATTTTACCAACCTTGATATCGATTGAAGCGTATATCCAACTATTCCAACCTTTTCTCCTCCTATTACCAATACTTTACTTTTTACGAACAGCGGAGGATCTCTAGACCACGTGGGTTCTTTACTGGCGTCCAAGTTCGATATGACGACTGAACAATTGATGTTACTGAGGAACCTAGCAGTGTTGGCTGGTCCATCGTCAAAGTCGTGGTTACCAAGTGTCTAACAAACGATATAAAGAGTGATAGGTATTTATGTAGATTTGTGGTCTGTGAACTGGGCTCTCCGGGGATAGGGGAGAGGGAGGATTGGAGGGGGGGGGGTGGGGGGGAGCGGAAGAGCCGAGTTCACAGACTAGCTAGTAGATTTGAAATTGGAGAGCCTACGTAGCACTCAGTTAATGTAATGGGCTCTCCCAATTTCAAATGATCGCTGTCGAAAGTATTGAGGGCAGCCATGTGAGCGAGGCAACTTCGGGCAAAACTATTTGCTTATCTTATTTTTTACCCAAAATTGTCTCGCCCGCGATACTTTTGACATCGGTCATCACATTTGAGGGCCAAATTTTTGAGACTATAAATTTACTGAGCTAAATAGAAGAATACGAACACCAAAATTATTGTGCATAGAAAGTCCCGGGTGTGACGTGGGTCCTAGTTTTGCGTTACTCACAAAACACGGTCCACAGGGATCCCAAGTGGTCGAGGAAGGGGAGGAAATCTGCCGTGGGTTCAAACATGTTGTATACATAATAGAGGGAACTTTAGCCTGCGAAACGGCCTCCATGTTGGGGGTCGGGGAGAGGGGGTATGCCGTCGACCAAAGGGATCCCAAGTCCGCAGTGAGTTTAAGCTACATACATAGAGGAGCTTCTAATATCGTCAGTAGTTTAAAACATTGTCCACAAGGATCCCAAAATGTCGACGTCCCGTTGGGTTGCGTTACACAATAACATACATTTTCAAGAATCATTCGCCTACCATAGCATCATATCCGAGTTCGTTCATGAACTTCCACGTAGCGTTCCCCCTGTAAACAACGTACCACAGGGTGCCCGTAAACACATCTCCGGCATCAAGGAGTACTACATTTTTCTCTTGACTTCGAATGCGCTTGATTTCGGTGGCTCGCCTCGCGACACCTCCATAACATAGTCCAGCTTCTCGATCTCTTTGAAAGCACATCCTCCCGTTAACGTCCATCTCTTCAAATCTTGAATGGAAGTCATTGGTATGAACAATTGTTAACTTAAATCCGTAAATTTTYTCTAGGAAATTCAGAAAGACTAGCACTGTAAATACTGCTGTAATGGTCTTCATGGTAAATCCTCAGTTCAGTACCTGCGTAATATCGTCGTCACGTCGTCACGCAACGCGGTTTCTCTCGCTCCCAAGAATCCCGTGTTTGGACACAGGGAACCCGGATACGGAGCCATCCTGCTTGCAGCAGTCTTTTTCTCATGTACGGACATTTATTTAATTCGGGTTCTGAGTACCAAGCGATCTTCCCCTCTTCCCCAGCCTCCAACAACAACAGGGGTTTTTTTGGCGGACTTTCCCGTATGTGTAAAGTGTGTGCACAGTATGAGCTCTTCAAGAGCGGATTTTGAAAAAAAACACTAAATGGCCTCAAATCGCGCTGAAACTTCGCCAAAAGACTGGACAAAGTAAAAGCAACAACTGCAGCACGTTTTGAGGCAAATTGTTGAGTGAAACGTTTTATTGTCATGACTCTATCATAACTCCCATGCATTCCCTTATAAACCATACACAGGAACCTTGTTTGGGCTGCCTGTGGTATATGTAGGATAAAGAGGCGCAATAAATTTAAAAAGTTATGTCAATCAACACGAGAACACGTTGGATTACGAGATCAAATTAATTAAAAACAGATATTAGGGGATTAATTCAGAAAAAACGTACTCACTTCATGATATCTAGTAATTTCCGTTCAAGCGACTGAAAGATTCCCGATATTCTTGAACAAAATACCTTGACAAAAACGCCGACAGAAGCGGCTGGTTGTCGGTCTATCAGGTCACCTGCGCATGAGCAGGTTTTATACCCTTTTATTTATTTATTTATTTATTTATTTATTTATTTATTTATTTATTTATTTTTCCACTCTTTCTCTCCATTCACAGTTCCGACTCAAACTATCTTATATAAAATACCTTAAGTAAAGTGACTGGAGCGATAGGTAGTCGGTCTATCAGGTCACCAGGTTTTATACCTTTTTTTTCGCCGTTTTCATTCTTTTTTAATAAAGTCATATTTTTTATACGATTGGCTTTTTGTCTGAAAGATTTTCTGGCCGTGGCCTTCGTTGGTGTAGTACACTATAATTAACTGAACAAGAGACAACTTTCATACTTTCTTTCAATATTCATACTTTCTTGAACTGAACTCTATACTTTCCTAAAGCCTTTTGCAAATCGGAAACAAATTTTTCTTAGCGCTTAAAATGGTTGAATAAGCCTTTTCATAGTTTAAGAATCGATTCCACTGCGCATGCGATTTTATCACGAATTTCTCACCTTCTTTTGTTTAATTAAGAACAAAAGAAGGTTTAGACAAAAGAAAGTAGAAATTCGGGATAAAACCGCATGCGCAGTGGAATCGATTCTTAAACTATGAAAAGGCTTATTCTTCTCGAAAAATAAAGCAAATATATGAAAGGAATTCATGAATAATTAATGAGCATTTACTACCTATCAGGTCCTTCAAATCCATAACGTGCATGGATCTTTACCTGATAATAGTTTAACATGGATATCTTTATATAAAGATTTTGAAATCTTTATAAAGGACCGAAAGAGTACAAGCAAGAGAAAATGAGCTAGTTCATATTCTCTTGGACCCTAAATGCTTATTAATTATGCATAAATTTTTGAAGTCGTTCAATAAACTCGCAGATCAGTCGTGTTTTATCAGGTCTAAAACCTGATAAAGCACTTCTGCTCATTTATTCAACTATAAATAAAGTACAAATGAGATAAATTGTATTTATTATAGGCAGAATTTAACCACTTTCGGGGGTAAAGGAAAATATCCAATAGACTGTTTTTTCAAGGTTGCGTGCGCATCCAACTTGACAATCCACAAAAATGAAAAGCGCAAATTCAGTAAAATTGAGAAGACAGTTGTATATTTAAAGAGAAGAATAATCAATGTTATGAAATCTTTTCGAAAAATCTCATAGAATTGTATGATAATTCTTATTCATAAAGCTCCTGTTCTGGTATCGTGGCACGTTCATTAGGAACGCAGTTGATTGACAGGCAAAAAAAAAAATGGATGGGTTGAAGAAATTCAAAATTTTCATTTTTTCTTTTCAACATTTATTTTCACTATTAATTTTGCTCTTTTGAAGTTGCCAGAATAAAAAGATTGATACTGGAACGATTGAGAAAGTGCTCTTAAACTGACTCGGCCATTAAAGAGTGATAAACATAAATCTGATCAAGAGATTGAAGAGAAATTGAATAAGAAGCCGCTAAAAGAAGTCGATAAAATTGACGGTCGACGTCCTTGCAAAATAGACGTCAGTCCTTAAAACGCCCTAACCTTACAGTCAAACCAGCTCATGCGTTCCTACCAAGGTTCAAAGATTCATGTTATTATTGGAAGTTTGATTCCCATCTTGCTTTGATGCTTGCATTAATCAAACGATAGTTTCATAAATTTCAATCCCGACATTTATCTCAAAATATCAAAATGTTCATTTGTGCTTATAGGACTTTTTAAACAAAACATCACACGACACGGAATAGTTACAACTGTAAAAATAATTTTGACTTTGCACGATCCTGTGAAGAACTCATAATTAAAGCAAATAGCGAAGATATCGATTGCATGCCAGCTTTATTTCTTGCGCTATGACAGCCAATGCTTCCCGTAGTCAAGGCTCTATATAAACGAGGTTAATATAAATTCGCTATATAGAAACGCTTTGGTACTTCATTGAAATTCAAAGTTCTGACTCTCCTAAGTTACCGTTGCTATGTCCCACAAGCTTAACAAATTATCTAAAATACAGTAAAAACCCGCGTAAATGAACCTGTTGATTTAAAGTGCACATAGGGTTTGCTCAGAATGCAGTCAGTTTTAGAGAATCTTTATGCATATTTTATATAAATAATAGTCCACATCAGTACCAAAAACGAGTCGCTTTTTTCTTAAGAAAATAAAAACCTAAATAGCCTAAATTTGCAGTCAACACCAATTATATAAGAACCTTTAAGGATAACTTGGAAAAATCTAGGTTTCTATACGCGGATTTTTACTGTATCTGTATATCTATTTAAAATTCCTGAATGGCTGGAATTCGCGGAAAATGGATTATAAATTGTTTCGATAGTTTACTGTCCTGAGAAAAGAAAATAGAAAACTGCCTCGTACGTAATCCTTGTACTATTCTTAAAAACAGATACTGTGTAGTTGTTTGTGAGACAAGATTTTAATTCCACTGAGAAAACTGCTGCGACGTTGATTCAGTTGGTTCGCTATTGTCTGAGTTGAAACTATGAATGGAATAAAAGGGTGAAAAAAGTGAGGGATAAAACCTGCCCATGCACAGGTGACCTGATAGACCGCGACTACCTATTAAGAGAGTCGAATTCTTTTCGTATTCAAGCAGTGGTCGTCAAAAACTATTTTCTTGAAGAAAGGCTGTCGTATAAGGCTAAAATCTTATTATTCAGAAAGTTAAACTTGTTTGGAAGTAGAGATGATCAATGAAAGTGGAATCAAAGTGTTAATCCAAAGCAAAATTTTTTTTTCGAAAATGAGGTTTAGGCCATCATTTGCTTATTTCCCATATATTTTCTATAAAAAAAGCCTGACATAGCAACATTCTAACACAAATGCAACAAAATATCTTTGTACAATTGAAAATACCGCTTCAAACAGGCATTTTATCATAGTACATCAGTTTCTGTTTTGGTTTTGAGCGTTAACCCAAACGAAAAACTCATCAAAACTCATACGAAAGTCTAGTTTTTGCCGCAGTTTGCCATTATTGCTCATTATTGAAAAAACTCTCCTCTTAAATGTTTTTTTAATAAGAAAGTTTGAGTCGGAACTACCTATGGATGGAGAGAAAGAGTGAAAAAAAGGTATAAGACCTGCCCATGCATGGCAGGTGATCTGATGGACCGACAGTCGTTTTACTCGAGGTATTTAAAAAAAGAAATTTCGTGTTCTCTTGCATTGTTTGAAGTCTTCAGAGGATTTTTAAGATTTAGTCTGAATCCACTACTTTCTGTTCTTTTATGTTATAATATTTCAATGTATCGTTTTGATGGACATAATTCAGTTAAAATTGACATATATCAACACGCCCGTTGAGCTCGCTTAATCATGGGATGGTAAATCGATAGGTTTGATATTTAAAAACTTTTTTTGTATTTTTAGAATGAGCTACGTATTTCTGAAAAAAAAGCTTTTTTCTCTCGTTGTTTGACACTTTTCAATGCATCGTGTTGATGGACATAAAATTTTAAATTGACATTATCAACACGCCCGTTGAGCTCGCTTAATCATGGATGGTAAATCTACAGGTTTTATATTCATAAACTCTTTGTTTGTGTGTTTTTTAAATGAGCTACGTATTTCAGGAAAATTTTTTTTGGATTTTTCAGTAAGAGATAAGAGGTTACATCGTGATATTTCCTGTCCTTTTTATTATTATTATTATTATTTTATTTTACGGTAGACCGCTATATTAATAGCCCGATTTCATAGAGATAACTCATTCTTTCGACAGTATGAGGTCGTACACTTACAGAGCTCTTTTGGCTGCTTTGCTGGTGGTCCTGGCCATAGAAGCAGCGGCACAGCGGCGTAGAAAATCCGCTCCGCGGGTCTTAACAAAACAAGGTCATGTAAGAGGAATACGAGTAAGAATTCGTTGCAAATGTGGTTCCACAAACACTATCTACAAGTTCCTAGGCATTCGATACGCCCAAGCGCCAATAAACCGTCTAAAGTTTAGGCGCCCACGACCTCTCGCGAACGAACACCGTTCAAGGGAATACAATGCCACGTATTATCGACCAATTTGTGCTCAACCATCTTCCAAATCAGAATTTATAAGTAAGACCTGGCCTGGTATGAGTGAAGACTGTTTGTATCTGAACATATACACCCCATCTATAAGGGGTAGCAAAAAATATCCAGTAATAGTGTTTATACATGGAGGAAAATATATTAGAGGAAGCCCTGTTATTGACGCTAATACACCAGGCGAGTACTTGCCCACCCTTGGTGTCGTTCTTGTCACCATCCAGTATCGACTTGGACCATTTGGATTCTTCACTATTGGAAGGACAGGTAGCTCTAGGGCACCGGGAAACTTAGGACTTCTTGACCAGGTAGAGGCTCTCAAATGGATTAAACGAAACATCGAGGGTTTTCGTGGCAACAAGAGGAGTGTGACTCTCCTAGGTGAAAGCGCAGGGGGATCTAGCGTGGCTCTACATTACTTATCCCCTCTGTCCAAAGGACTGTTTCATCGAGGTATTGCAGTAAGCGGCGTGGACTTAGAAGTGGGGCCCTTGGTTTTCAAGCCACGGAAAACGGTCAAACGTGCCAGCGAAAATCTATTAAGGGAAACGGAATGCTATAAAGGTCGCGATGAAATTAAACAACTTCGATGCCTGCGAAAAGTCGAATGGGCGACAATTTTACTTCACACCGGTACCGATTTGGAGTTGATGTCGCCAATCGTTGATAAATACTTCCTTCCTGAGCATCCACGGGTTTTGAGAAGAAATGGGCAATTTTCTAAGCTTCCTTTAATAGCGGGTTTTACTAGTCAAGACGGGTCACAGTTTGTTCAGCATGTCTTAGATCAAATTCGAGGAGAAATTCCGCGGTTCCACGTCAACAGTTTACGAGACTTTAAAAAAGTTTATAAACACAGCTCTGATAAAACAACTTCAAGTGAACTTCCCGGAGATGCGCGATCTCATTAGTAATGCCTCAGAAATAATTTATTTACCGCAAAAGAATAGTCAATTGCCAGATATATTGACACGAATCACTAATGAACAATACATGACAGCATTAGTAAAAGTTTTTACTGATTTTGCTATAATTGCGCCAACCCATGCTGCCTTGACGTTCCATAGCAACCACAGTGGCCCTGCCTATATGTTTGAGTTTGCCCATGCTTCTACGTTAAAAACAGGAGATCCTTATTGGTTGGGAGTGTCTCACGGTAGTACAAAGCCATACGAATTCGGCAAACCACTTCTGAAGCCTCGAGATTATAAAAAGAGTGACAAAATTGTCAGCGATATCATGGTGACCATGTTTACCAACTTTGCCAAAAGTGGTAACCCAACTCCCTATCCCGTGCATGGTGTTCAATGGCAAAGATTCGACTATTTCAACAAAACCCGCTTGATGATCCAAAGGCATCCTGTCATGACCAGCGACCTGAATAGTCGACAGTCGAGTCGAGTCGAGTCGAGTTTTGGAATGAAGAGGTCACTAAATGGTTTGAGGATTTTGCTTTAGGCAATGTAACAATAACAACATCGCCTAAAAAATTGGACTCTACTGAAGATACAATAGCTTAGAAAGTTTTTCTTGCCATGTTGAATGTTGGGTTACTGCGGTTTTTAATGTTCTGCGAACTCCGGAATTTCAACGGCTGCTGGTCGTCAGGAATTTTTTTTTTTTTTTTTTAAACCGCCGCCAGTCAAGAGCCTAAGAGGTACCGACTGATAATTTTTGATTGACGGCAGCGAAAAAATCCAATTTCAGGCAGCTTTCCGTCCTAGTTCCTCACGGGCGGCCCTCAATGACAGCTGCGGAGGAGACTAAGCCCCCGAGTTCGAAGAATAGGCGAAAACTGCAGTATCCCAAAATTCAGCATAAAAARCTTATGAATAACCTAGACTAGCATGTCAGTTTAAAATTAAACCACCAAACTTAAGCCTTATTGTATTGAAAATCACCTCCGCAAACTGCAAAACTTGTTTCAGAATAACCACTAATAATAATAAAAAGGATGATGATAATGATGATTATAGAATTGATGTGAATATAATGATGATCATGATAGTGATCATGATGACCATGATTATGATGATGATGATAGAATTGGTGAGAATAATAAATTCACTTTTATCAGCATAAAAAATAAAATAATAGCAATAATATAATGAAAGGAAACTATCAAAATATTTGCGTATTCGGAGTTGTTGTTGGTGTTGTTGTTTTGATAGAATAGAAGACAACCAAATAGCGAACATCAACTTTCACCAATGTTCTTTAGTTAATAATTTACAAAATACAGGTGCCCGCTCACATGTAATTTTGAACTGTCCATCAATACTGTACACTCAAAACAAATTGAATTGCTATCGGTGAAACTATATAATTCACTTTGCAGATGTTTTTGTGGAATAAATTTAAAGAAGCTTTCAGTATCAGTTGAAGAAAAGGCCTGGGCGTTTTTGTGAACGGGAAAACGACCCTGAAGTAGGTTTCGTTCTTCAAAATAGCAGTTTTTCAAGTTGAACTTTATGAAATATCCGTTAATTTTTCAAGGCTGTTTCCTGAAACTATAATTAGCGGCTTTAGTTTAGCCTGGCAACTAAGTTCATCACTTCAATTTCACACTTAAATTCAGCACCAGCATCTTAAATTCGAACTTCTCAAAGTAGCTTGCTAATCGCTAGAAACTTGGAAAAGACAAGAAAAAAGCCACTGTACTTGGGAGGAAGGATTTTCCCAGAGCGATTTAAAAAGAAAAACACTATGGAATCTGTTGTCCTGAGCTTGACAAAAGCTCGTACTCCAGAGCTTTCTCCAATAGATTCAGTCAGTCCGAATGGATTACGAAGTAAAGTGAGAAATAGAATGAGCCAGTGGAAGAGACCAAAGACTGGAGAAGATGGAGTTGAGCAAAGACGGCTGGGAGTGTAAGTACATAGTTTATTTTGATAATTTGGCTCACTTCACTATAGATATTTCCTCCATTATAATAGCGACTACGTATGAATGTGGAAGGAAAGAGGTTTTATGCAATAAATCTTTTTTTCTTTTAAATTGCACAAAATGATATTAAGAGAATTTTTAATGTTCGTTGGTCTTACTGTGTCGAATCTGTCCGCGTTTTCCTGGTCATAGTTTACCTTCGCTATCACCATAGCAACGAGGCCTGTCTTTCTTTCAGTGCAGGAAGAAAAGATAGAATCTTGATTTGCAAAAAAAATGGTTCACAAAACACTAAAAATATAAAAATATGGCTACAAAGACACCAAAAAAGAAGGAATCTAAAGAAAGAGTTGCTTCAGCAGTGCCTAAAGCAGCAGAGTAAGTTGTGTTTTTAGACGTAGTGAACGAGGTAAACGAAGCTTGTTTGCACAAGGATTATTTTGACCTTTTTCGTTTATTTGAATGCTTTCTTCTTCGTATTGAAAGACAGCTTTACACCTAGAATAACAGAGCCGTTTACTTAAAACTTGAGAGCTAAATAGCTTGACTTTGAAGTGGTATTTGTCTGGAGTCGGTGCTAAACGTAAGTCCTGGTGCAGAAACCATTTTTGTTGTTGATGAATAAATTTGAAACTTTGGTCCTTTTATTTTATTTTCTTTGACTCTACTAAAATTTGAGACAAAAATAAGGTGTTAGCGACATTTTTAGCTATTAAGAACAGAGTTACTAAGCCTCAAAGAGTAAAAATCATTCGTATGCACTAATTTTTCACTTTTTTCCTCCTGGACACTTTTCAAAAAGAGCAGGAAATATCAGCTGATTTTGTTCCCCATTTGCTGTGTTATGAAAGATGATCATGAGCCACTTGAAATACCCTGTTATCTTTTAATCTTTTTGACGCAAAACAGGAATTCCTATGGCTTTTTTAGATCAAATTCCAAGCTGTAATTCTAAACCTTTTTGTGTGAACTCGTTGTTTCTATGGTTTTGCCGAAGCCAGAAAAACACAAAAAACAGTACGCGAAAATTTCTCCAGAACCAGCAACAAACTGGACAGAAATTGCTAGTAAAAATAATAAGCTTGAGTCAGTAATCTAGATGGGTAAAACTTCCCCTACTAAGGGTTCCATGAGCGGTAGAAAGAGTCCAGGATCTGCTTGGAAGGAACTTCGAAATGCAGCAAACATGTCTGCCAGATTTAGGTGAAGAATTATCACTCTAAATATTCCAATATACATACTCTTTAATTTTGATTTAATGTTCGTGTTTATTGTATTATTTTATATCCAAAGCTGTGGTTCCTAAAAGGTTTGATGAGGCATGATTGTTTTGACATGTTAGAAGTATTTACTATTGATATTTCTTGATATATATGAATAATCTGACTATTCTTCGTTTGCAATAGACGTCATAGCCGCCATGTTGGAAGAATTTGACAAAAGATTTTTCAATGAATTCTTTTGTTATATCTTCCAACATGGCGGATATACCTTTTGTTATTGAGCTCTCTTGGGATTGATTGCAAACCAAGAATTCAATTCCATTTTATTATTATTTTATTAAATTCATTAAATAATATTACAATATACCCTAGAATTATATGTTGTTAATGAATTTTACTTGCTTTGGTTTTTTCTATGAGGCCCTCAAATTAGACTGTTCTTGGGAACGTTTAGGATTTATGTAATTTATGATTATTAGCAATAATATTATAAGAGAATTTAAGGATGCTCTGTCTCGACATGTTTACTAGTCAATATCAGTTAATATTGACACACTTAACATATTTACATTCATTTTTCCTGACCTTAATTGTAAACCTTCAAATACAAACATAAGATACCTCATTTATATTCAACAATCAACTCTAAGCAGTACATACTTTGGTTGCCTAGATACAGACAGTGTTTAAAAGAGATTATAACTGTCTACAGTTCCTAAGCAGGTATAGACTTAGACTTATAAATAAGTATAGGAATATGTCATCTTTGATTGGTCCATATGCAATATCGCATATGAAGATGAGTCTCCACTTACCAGGCAGTACTTCCAGAAGCCGAAGGTACATGTATATTATAGCATTTATGACAAAAATGTTGGGGTTCCAAGCTGTCAGTTGTATAAATACCTCCGAACACCTATTACTTTATGGTTTTGTAGTTCATAAGTCCTAAAGACTGTAATGATTATCTGTTACTTAGTCTTATTCATACATACATGGATTTAGATTTAAGAGTAATAACTAAGCTTACTTAAATAGTCAGTCAGTCAGGAATTATGCTTCAAATTTCTATAGCAAAAAAATGTCCAAATTACCAGCTCTCTTGGAAAATGCATGCCACATATATAGATGTGAAATGTGAAATGTCAACCTCGATGATGTGTAACGAGCTCTGAATGAGAATTATGGCCTTCTCATATATCATATGTAGTTGATTCCTACCATTTGTAGTCTCATTATTAGCAGGCTCCATTTTTGGAATGAGATTAAAAATGGATGCAACTGTATTTATATATAATAAGGAGAATAGTCCAGTTCTGTATGACCACTAAGATAATAAATTAATTATTGTTGTGTTGAATATAATTTTCAAACTGTTCATCAATATTATGATACGAGATTGCAACTGTAATAGGATAGTATTCTACATGTATGCAGAAGAATTTGAAGTATCACTAGAGATCATGATACCAGTTAATCACTTTATATCGTAACGGCAAAGTCTTTTCGCTAGACACTGAGTTATACTACATGTTGTTATGCTATAGTAAGGGTAGTAAGTTTAAGTAAGGGCTGACAATACCACACAATAAGTTACTGCCTGTATATAATATATACTCACTGTTTATACACTCAAAAGTGTCTTGGATGCAAGACTATTATGGAAATACAAAATAAATCACACTTTTTCTCAATGGAATATGTGGTATTTCTTATGTATTTCCATGTTAGCCTTGTATTCAAGACAATTTTCTCATTGCTTTTTGTTATGTCTTTGTGTAGACAATCCATAGCACCAAGTGTGATAGGTTCACTAAAAGATGGTGATGATAAAAAGAGTAAAACCAAGCCACCAATAGTGATCTGGCCTGAGTGGAGTGACCAGGACATTAACCAGGAAAAATGGGTATGTATGCTCACTGATAATATTAGGTTAAATTTTGAATATTGCAAAATTGATATTACCAAATGTTGATGAATGAATACTATAAATGGAAATGAATATGTTGGTAATTATATTGTAAATAATTGATTATATTATTGATGATGTCTTGACGACGATGATGATGGATGATGAGGATGAGTGATGATGATTAATGATGATGATGATGACAATGACAGTGATGATGATGATGATTAATGATGATGATGATGACAATGACAGTGATGATGATATTGATGATGATGATTAATAATGATGATGATGATGAGGGTGATGATAATGTTGATAAGTGATGATGTTTGATGATGATGATATTTATAATAATGAAGATGATGATGACAATGAAGATGAGGATAAGTAATGATGAGAATGATAACGATGATGAGGATGGGTGTTGAGGACGATGATGATTATGATGTCGGGATGAGTGATGTTTATGGATGATAATGATGGTGATGACTATGGTACATGCTCATGGCATTGCAAATAATAATAGTGATGGGGAAAAAAAATTGTAACTATTGCCAGATGATGACATTTTTATGATTTATACTCAATGACAATCAATGTTTTAATAAATAATTACAACAGACCTAATGAAAATCAATTTTTTCGTGACATTAGGACACTGCTCACAAGGCAAAGGAAAAAGAAAAAGGAAAAAGCCCCAATCCAGTAAGCTAAATTAATATTTAGTCTTCAGCAACTTGCTAATGTTCAATAATAATATTTCCTGAAACCTCTTATGTTTTAATGCACATACAATCATTTATAATGCACTAGCTATTATAATTACATTGTGTCCAAGTATTAAATGCTTTTTTTGACATAGGGAATGCTTCATTCACAGCATCCATATGAAGACCCAGAAGGACGCATTGACTTACCACAGGCTATCAAATCTAGGGTGGATCACTGGAAACGACCTGTGGACTTTATCATAGAAAAGGTACAGGACACCCTTTAAACCATTAGAGAGTTAAAATACTTATAAATCCATGACTTGATTGTTTTTACACGGTACTGGACAAATGTTTAACTGGTCAAATAGTTGTACATTTAGAAGGTACTGTTCACACGAAACTGAGCTATCTGTACAAACATTTGTGTGTCTAGTTGTGCAAATTTTGGTCTCAGTTCCGTGTAAACAAAACATATTTTTTGTACAATGAAAGAGATGGTTCCATGCAGTATATTCTAAAATATATTTTTTGCAGACACCTGTTGTTGTTGAACCGAAAAGCCTGTCTGAAGAAATTGATCTTCTTTCTAAAAATGAACACTTGACAGACAGTGAGGTAAGTGTAGACAAAGTGAAAACACAATTCTCTTCTTTTTCTCTCACTGCTCCTCCCTCTCTCAAACTCCCCTTAGCTCTCATCCTACCTCCTCCTCCCCCACTCTCTCCTTCTCCCACTCTCTCTCTCTCCGACATCCCTCTTCAACTCTTCCTCTCCCACTTTCTCACTCTCCCTCTTCCACTCTCTCTCTCCCACACCCTCTCCAACTCTTCCTCTCCCACTTTCTCACTCTCCCTCTTCCACTCTCAATCTCCTACTCTCTGGCTCTTCCTCTCCCACTTTCTCACTCTCCCACTTTCATTCTCCCTCTCCCACTCTTTCCCTCTCCCACTCTTCAACTCTCCTTCTCCCACTTTTGCTCTCCCACTCTTTCCCTCTCCCACTCTTTCCCTCTCCCACTCTTCAATTCTCCCTCTCCCACTTTTGCTTTCCCACTTTTTCCCTCTCCCACTTTCTGACTCCCCCACTCTCACTCTTTCCCTCTCCCACTTTCTCACTCTCCCACTCTCACTCTCCCACTCTTTCCCTCTCCCAATCTCCCACTCTTCAACTCTTACCTCTCCCACTTTTGCTCTCCCACTCTTTCCCTCTCCCACTTTCTCACTCTCTCACTCTCCCACTCTTTCCCTCTCTCACTTTCTCACTCCCCCACTCTCACTCTCCCACTCTTTCCCTCTTCCACTCTTCCAACCCCCCTCTTCTGCTCTCACTCCCCTCCTCCACTTTCTCGTTTTTCCTCTGATCTTTTTTCAATCCTTTTTTGCAGTTGATACGCTGGATCATATCACAAATTACAAGTCTGTGGAAACTCCATTTCAAAATAGATTTACCAGAAGTTAAGACCAAAGAAACAAAAGATAGCAAAGACAAAGACAAGGATAAGGACAAAGAAAAAGAAAAGGATAAGGACAGGGATAAGGAAAAAGATGGAATGGTTGAAGATAATTACTGGAAACCATGGGGACATGTGTGGCCTAAAGAAAAGACGACATCCAAGGGCATGGCCTTACCTGTGTATAATGCTGGTGGGAAATACTGCGTACGAATATACTGGCTGGTAAGACTTAGTATGATCATAATGTCAGTCAGTCAATCAGTCAGTCAGTCAGTAGTCAGTCACTCAGTCAGTCACTCAGTCAGTAGTCAGTCAGTCAGTCAGTCAGTCAGTCAGTCAGTCAGTCAGTCAGTCA